TTTTGTTGCTGTTGTTGGGAGATTGTTTATTGTTTCTTTGATCTCAGTTCTTGAAAAATAGGTCTGTTCAAGAGATATATTTCTTCTTGATTAAGTCTAGGGAAAGGGTATGATTGCAGGTATTGATGCATTTCTCCACATAATCAAATTCCTGGGCACAGAGTTCCTTGTAGTACTCAAAGATGATGTCTTATACCTCTGTGGCATCTGTTGTTATTTCCTCATTATCATTTCTGACTGAGGTTATAAGATTGCACTTTTCTGTTGTAATTGCCAAATTTTATCAATTTTATTTATTTTTTTTGAAAAACCAACTCTTTGTTTTATTAATTTCTAAACTATTCTTTTCATAAATCTCGGATTTAATTTTGGTTATTTATTTTCTTCTGTTGGGTTTGAGATTAGATTATTCTTCTTTTCTAATTCCAGAAGATGGTTCATTAGTTAGTAGATGCATTCTTGTTTTTTTTTTTTTTTTTTTTTTTTTTGAATGCAGGCATCTAATGAGATAAACTTCCCTCTTAAAACTGCTTTTGCCATATTCCACAGGTTTTGGTAACTTGTGTCTTCATTGTTGTTATGTTTGAGGAATTTAACGATTTTCTCTTTTATCTCTTCCTGAACCCAACTATTATTCAATATAAGGTTGTTTAATTTCCATGTATAGGGATGAACATTTTTGTTGCAGTACAGTTCCAGCTTTATTTCCTTGTGGTCTGAGATGTACAAGGTAAAATTTCTGTTCTTTTATTAATTTTGCAAAGGTTTGATTTGTATCCTAGGATGTGGTTGATTTTGGAGTACGTACCACCAGCTGACAAGAAAAACTTTTACCTTTGAGATAAAGATAATACAACACATGTTTGGATGGTGTGTTCTGTATATGTCTATTAAACCCATTTGTTCTAAGGTCACATTTAAGTCCTTTGTATCTTTGTTTAGTTTCTGGTTAGACAATCTGTCCAGTTCTATCAGAGGGGTGTTAAAGTCTCTGACTATTATGGTGTTATGGGATATCATATTGCTCAGACCCATGAAGGTCTGTTTTGTAAATCTGGGATCATTTACCTTGAGTGCATAAATATTGAAAATTGAAATGTCTTCATGTTGTATTGTTTCTTTGATCAGTATAAAGTATCCATCATTGTCTTTCTTGACTTTAGTTGGTTTAAATCCACTTGTATCTGAAAATAAGATTGTAACCCCTCTTTTACTCTGATTTACCAATTCCTTGAAATACTGTTTTCCACCCCTTAACCATGAATCTTGATTTGTCCTTCAAGGGTAGGTTTGTCTCCTATAGACAGCATATGGATGGCTTGTGCGTTTTTTTTCTTTCTTTTTGGCAGGGGCTGGGTTTGAATCCTCCACCTCTGGTATATGGGGCTGGTGTCCTACTCCTTTCAGCCAAAAGTGTCATCCTGGCTTGTGCTTTTTTTATCCAGTGAGCTGGCCTGTGCCTCTTCAGTGGTAAATTCAGTTCATTGACAAAAATTGAGAATTGATAAGTGTAGTGGAGTTCTATTCATCTTATTTTGTCAACTTCCATTGTGTACGTTTATCATTTGTGCCATGGTGGTAGCTATGTTTTGACCTTTATCTTCTGGGTGTTTACTCTGCTGATGGTCCATTGTCATCACAATGGATGTCAATGTTCAAAATAGGTCTACATTTTTCCTACAGAGCTTCTCTTGTGGCAAATTTCCTCAGTGCTTGTATATCCATAAAAGATTTAATTTCTCTATCCATTTTGAAGCTTTGTTTAGCAAGATAAAAAATTCTGGGCTGAAAATAGTTTTATTTAAGAATGTTGAAGGTAGATGACCATGCCCTTCTGGCTATGGAATTTTCAGTTGAAATGTCTGCTGTCAATCCAATAGTTCTGCCTCTGTAGGTCAGTTGGTGCTTATGCCTGTTTGCAGAATTTTTTCTTTCATCTTGACTTTGGATAGGTTCATTACAATATATCTTGGAGAGGCTCTGTTTTAGCTGAGATGACCCAGCATTCGCTATCCATCTGAAATGAGTGTTTCTGGGTCTTTAGTAAAACTTGGGAAGTTTTCATTTACAATAGATCCCAGTAGGGCTTCCATTCCTTTGGGACAAGCTTCTCCCCTCTTAAGAATCCCTATTAGTTGTATGTTTGAATGCTGAATGGAGTCTTGTACTTCTCTCAGCACCTGTTCTGCTTTCTCTCTCTTCTTTTCTGCCTCTTTAATTAGCTGAGTTAAGTCAAAAACTTTCTCTTCTAGCACTGAGGTTCTTTGTTCTCCAAGGTCTAACCTATTTTTGATACTTTATACTAGGCTTCCTCAAATTGCGGCCCACCTAGGACATTTATCCAGCCTGCTGGGTGTTTTTGCCACTGATGCCTGTCCTGCTTAGCAGCCAACTCGTCCTGGGGCCTTCAGTCCAGCCCTCCAATGGTCTGAGGGACAGTGAACTGGACCCCTGTTTAAAAAGTTTGAGGACCCCTGCTTTATACTGTATCTTTACATTCCCTGATTGTCTCCTTCATTTCCTTAAGGTCCACCATATCCTTCTATATTCTACATATCTCTCATTTGACTTTTGGTTTTGTCTTTCTGTTTTCTCTTCCATTCCTTTTATTGTCTTTATCATCCAATTTTAAATTCCCTTTCTCTTGAGTCCATTACTTCTTTATAGGTAGATTCTTCTGCAGTAGTTGCCTCATGGACCCTTGGGGAGAGTTCCTCTGTTTTGTTTTTTCATGTTGCCTGATTTTTTCTTTTGATTCCTACTCATGTGTGCTTTCTTCTTGTTCACCCCTTGTCCTCCTTTTTTCATCTCACTGCCTCCTTTTCTCCAAATTACCTTGTCTCAGAGCTTAGGTCTTGAAGTGGCCTCAGCCTGAACAAAGCCAAACTTCTTCCTCATGGCCAAATAAAACAGAAGTCCTTGCTCTTGATGCCAATATGTTGCAATATGTAGCCAGGACACCAGGTGGCACTGTGGGGTTCTTTTAGGATATGGAGAGCACAGCCAACAACCTGTATGGTCCTTATTCCAAACTTAGTTGCCTTCAATAATCATTTATTGTTTCCTTAGCACTCAGACAATGCGAGATTATGATCTTAAAGCTTACAAGCATCCTTCAGAGGTAGGTTTCACATTGCATGCTGACTCTAGATCCCGTGGGGTACAGGGAATCCCTCAGCCTATCCCAAAAGTGGAATTCTGCACCTGGGAGGCAGAATTAAGATGGCTATGCTTTAGGCCCCTGCTAAGACCTTCTCGCAACCTTCCCAGAATGGCAGTCCACTGGCCACTGTGACCCTCCCAATGTGTCTGCCTCACTAGTCACCAAACCTATGGCAAATCAACTCAAACTGGCATTCAAATATGGCTGGTGTATACAATTCAAGTCCACCTATCTTCCAAGCTTTCCACTCAACACGCAGCTTCCCCCAACAACTGAAAACTCTGGAAAGGTTTCCTCCCATTGGAGTCCAGCCAACCCCAGGTGGTCGCAATCACTTGTCTAATCATCAGGTTTCCACTGCTCCTGATCATACACTGTATCTAGCTCATCACCTCCTCACCGTGCTCCCTGAGCTACAACTCTGTGTAAGGTCCCATGACAGGTATGGCTACATTCTCTCTCTTTCCCCAGTTGTTTGAGAAGAGCTCAGCTTAAAGAACCTTCTGGTCTACCATCATGATCTATCCCCTCTGTAGTAATACTTTGCTTATACCTGGCTATTTGAAGTATTTTCTAGTTTCATCTTAATATAACATTAGAAAAATTAATTTCTATGTGTCTAGGAGAAGCTTTGTTTGGATTAAGTCATGCTGGGGTTTTGAAACTATCTATTATCTGAATATCTGTGTCTCTTGCAACACTTCTCCTTCAGAAATTCCTATAATTCAGATGTTTGACTTTTTAGTGTGATCCTCTCAGGGAATAATCTGATTTTGCTCTCCTTGGTTTTGCCTCTTTAAATGACTGAGATAGTTCAAAAGTGTTGTCTTCATTTTCTGAGATTCTTTCTTCACACCGTTCACCTCTATTTCTGAGAGTTTATATTGTATTTTGAAGCTGCCTGAATATCTTTTTCAATTTCTTAAGCTCTGTTAAATCTCTCCTCATTATGTCCATATCTTTGGTGACTTTGTCTTTGAATTTGTTAATTTCTTGAAAAAATTTCTGAACTACTTCTTCGGTTTTCTATTTCCATCATTTTCTCCATTCCAAGTATCCTATTTGCCATCCATATTCTGAATTCTATTTCTGACATTTCAGCAATTTCTTTGTGAATGGTATTTTCTGTTGTATCTTCTTTGAAATTCCCTGGGGGAATTGATCTGCTTTGATTTGTCATTTTTCCAGAGATCTTTTACTGATTCTTCAATGTATTTTCAACTTCTCTCTTTTTTAATATGTTAATTATGCTATTTTAGTTGATATGTGGCCCTGCTGAGTCCACCCTTGATTGTTGTAATGCCACTAGTCTGATCTTTGTTGTCTTTCTGCCTCTTTCTTGTTCCTGACACTTTACTTGGCCTGGGTGATGTGCACCTCTCTTTTCTCTGTGCACAGATCCTCACTTTTGGCTTCAGTTCACTTCAGTCTAATATCTTTCCCTCTGGACAGGAACCTATGATGAAAGCTTCTTGTAGTCAACCATCTTAATACCTCCCACCCAGATTGAACTTTTTAAACAATACTAGAATGTGAATGAGAACTCCAATTACCACTTAATTCTACTAAGTGACAATTCAGATGAAAATAAACCCAAATCAATTTATCTCAATGTTCGCTGAGTATCTAATATATTCAAGACTGTGCCAAGCCCTACAAATGATACAAAGATGAATAAGATTCAGTCACCTTGGAAAAGGTATACATATTTCAGTGGAATAGCTAAGTCAGTATACATAATATTACAAAAGAATTAAGAATGTAAGTGTTCTGAAACTAATTAAAATTAGTGCTCTTAAAACTTGAAAGGAAAATGGTTGTAATAGGAAACAATTACCTCATCTCCCATTTGTGGGACAAATGGGGAACGTCGAGGTATGGTATCCAAGATCCACTGAGGGGCAAACCATTCTTCACTGGGCTCACCTGCCATAGAAACCAGTCCTCCTTTCTAAAATATAAATACAAGAACACTATTATGTATGAAATATAGTTCACAAATATATAAAACACATGAATAATAGCATAAAAATAACAGGTAGATAACATTAAAAATAACAGGTCATAATAAAACCTAAAATATATAAATTTCAACAATTGTCCTTTAACAATTAATTACACATAATTTTTGTACCAATGAAGAATTGAGTTGTTCAATTTTGACTGATAGATAATAACACAATAACTTGACACCATATACTATCTAAAAACTATAACTTTCACTGTTCATGTCCTTTGAATTCTATGTAAATTCAAATACAAGTAATACAATAATATATTGTCAGTAAAACAGTGACAACCAAGAAGATAATTATGAGTACTAAAACAACAGACTTCAGAATTATATATAACTTTTCAAAATTAAAATTCCAATAAAATTCACTCTAAATCAGTGATTCTCAACCTGTGGGTCGTGACCCCTTTGGGGGTTGCCTAAGACCACTGGAAAATACACATTTCCAATGGTCTTTGGATAACAGTAGCAAAATTACAGTTATGAAGTAGCAACGAAAATAATTTTATGGTTGGGGGTCACCACAACATGAGGAACTGTATTAAAGGATCACGGCATTAGGAAGGTTGAGAACCACTGATCTAAATGAATTTACAGTGCAGAAGAGAAATAGTCACTGAGATGAAATAAAAACATGAAAGACTGAGAGTTCTATATAATTTTTCACACACTTCCCTGTTACACGTTAAAAATGTGTAGAATTTATGACTGGAAACACGATAAAGATAAAAATATATACCATACTAGCTTTTTACTTTAGAACATTGCTACATTTTGACAAACTGTCAGTGTTTTAATAATAAATTATGATAACCACATTCTAGTCTCTACTATCGATAACAGAATTATTTCAAAAATTCTTTAAATTTTGAATTTACTTAGTTTCTCAGGTAGAATGTTATCGTTAGAGAAAAGTCAAATATTACTGTTAAATATTTAAGTATGAAAGGCAAAACAATAATAAAAAGCAACAAAAACAAAATAACCTTCTTTCTAGTCTGTTTGGGTTTCTTTTGCCTTTCATCTAGTGACTTCAAATTCTCCTCCTCAGAGCTACTGCATATTTTCCGTGTTGCCTGTCTGGTTTGTCTTTTTGGAGGTTGCAAATTTATTCCAGCATCTGCTGTCCAATCAGAATATTCACTTGAAGAATCACTATAAATAAATCAGAATTACAAATGCTTAAGTATGAAAAAGGAATAGCTTTATCTCACAATGTAAAGATGATCATTTTGTAATTAAACATTATAAATGACAAGCCTGGTTTTGTTCTAACCTAATACAAAAAACTTTACTATAGAATTTTGATTGCTAACTAAGTGATTTTAATGAAATGCTTATTGGATAAAGTACAATGGTTGGTTTCCTATAACAGGATTTAAAATCCCTTTCCAAAATCACATAAGCTTCTTTAAATAAAGATGCACCTTATTCCTAGAAGTAGTAATATACAGTTATTTAAAACTGAAATAAATATATACATAGCCATATGTCACTCAATGAAGTGATTTAATCACTCATTAGGTCATTTATTTATTTATTTATTTATTTTTTGGCTGGGGCAGGGTTTGAACCCACCACCTCTGGCATATGGGGCTAGCGCCCTACTCCTTTGAGCCACAGGTGCCACCCCATTAGGTGATTTTTTGTTGTGCAAATATCATAGAGGGTACTTACACAAAGCTAAATGTTATAGTCTATTATATACCTATACAGTATAGCCTATTGGTCTTAGGTTACAAATCTGTACAGCATGTTACTGTACTGAATACTGTAGGCTACTGTAACATAATGGTGAGTATTGGTGTATCCAAACATATCTAAATAGAAAAGGTATAGAAAACATATAGTATAAAAGAGAAAAAATTATATCCCTATACAGGGAATTTAACATAAATAGAGCTTTCAGGATTGGAAGTTGCTGTAGTGAAATCAGTGAGTGAGCAGTGAGTGAATATGAAGGCCTAGCTTATTACTGTACAAGACTGTAGATTTTATGAAGACTGTATACTTAGGCTACACTAAATTTATCAAAAATATTTTTCTCTCTTTAATAATAAATTAACCTTAGCTTACTTTAGATATTTTTTCCCAAACAGATTTATTGAACATAACAAAATTGTATATACAAAGTGACCTAGACCTGCAACTTCAAAACATTATCCTTTCTTACTTGATAGGTTGGTCCACAGAGGGTTAAGAAACAAATTACTTTAAAATAAATAGAAAAGTACCAGTGTCCATTATATGAATAGCCTAACTGCTGGAACTTTAGTAGTTCTATAAGATAATTAACATAGGTAAGACTGAATACCTATGAAAGGCTGCTAGAGAACTGATAAGAGATGTCAAGAGGCTATTTTGTATAACACCACTGTGATGTCATCACATTACTAGACCATAATGTTCCTATTCTCTGATTCCAGCATGTAATAGGAGTTCAGTGGGGTCAGAGGTCAGCTTAGCTGTTTTCTATGTTAGAACAGCTGTCACTCCAGCATGTTCATCTCACAGGGTCCCACAGCAGCCCAAATTAAGTCCTTGTGAATCTGTGCACAGTATTCCAACAATGGACAGATTCTTCACTATGTCCTCTAAGTTGTGCTCCAAGGCTGCCTCCATCCCATCTGCCATCCACCTTAGCCCAGGGCTTACTGTAAAAATTTTACTTTATAACTTTTTAACTTTTTGATTCTTCTGTAATCATATTTAACTTAAAACACAAAGAAAACTGAACAAAATATTTTCTTTCTTTTTATCCTTATTATATAAGCTTTCTTTTTTTAAAAAAAAATTTTAATTAATTTTTTTTTTACTTTGTTAAATCTAAGATACAAACAGACACATTAGCTTATGCCTACATAGGGTCAGGGTCATTAAAATCACTGTCTTGTACTTCTACATCTTGTACCAATAGAAGGTCTTCAGAAGCAGTAAGAAACATGGAGCTATCATCTCATATAACAATGACATCTTCCTCCTGAGTTTATTTCACAATTAATTAACTTATTTTTGGTAAGTAGAAAGAGTATATTCTAAAATAACAATCAGAAGTATAGTACAGTAAATAAATTATTAGCATAGTCATTTATTATTAATTATTATGTATTATCAACATATGCTATACTGTTATACAACTGGCAGCATATCAGGTTTACAATAGCATTACCAAAAATACACGAGTAATGCTATAGTGATGATGTCACTAGGTGATTTGAATTTTTCAGCTCTATTATAAACTTATGAGATTGCAGTTGAATATGGGATTTGTAGTTGACTGAAATATTGTTGCAGTGCATGACTATAATTGCCAACATGTAGAATCTTGAATTTAAAAAGAACCTGGTTTTATAAAGTAACTGAAAAGATACTGGAAAAACTAGGATAAAACAAGTCTCTAGGCTTCTAGCCTAGTAGTATTCTTTCCACAATAAAAAACTATTGTAATTCTAGATTTTACAAATTCCTACAAGAACATAACTTCATATTAGAATTGTTAAATAATTTTGACAAAAATCAAAGCCATCCAAACTACCTGGAAGAACTTTCACTTTGCCATTCAATAACAGGATCGTCTATAGAAGCATCACTTGTGCCAATGGTTTCATCTTCCTGAAACAGAACCAGCAATTGAAATACTTGCTTATGTTGCCAGCATTCTAGTAATTAGCAAACCACTACCTGTTTAATAATACTTTTTTATCCCCTCAATAAAATATTCTAGTTAAAACACACATAATTATTTTTCTAGGTATAACTCATAGCTCAGCCTATGGGCTATTTAAAAAATTCGAACATATCTTATTGATATGAAACATCTTTTTTATTATTTTAAAGACTGAATGGAGTCCATTAGTCTAAATATAATGTTCTTAAATGCTATAAATATTATTTTAAAAATTTCCATGTCTCTACTGAGTTAATACAATTACTCTCTACATAATTATTAAATTTAAAAACCTAAATTTTTTATTATGTAAAATTTCAAACATACCACAGTAGAGAGAATGAAATGTTTAGACCAGCACAGTTTACAATCACAAAGTTGTGAAAACAACCCAAGTGCTCGTCAATACATGGAACAATAAAATAATAAAATGTGGAATACATATATCATGAAGACTACTAGCTATAAAAAAATGGTGATCTAGTATCTTTGGTAACACAATCTGGATGGAACTGGGAACCAGTCTTCTAAGTCAAGTTATCACAGCAATGGAAAAACAAATACCACATGTGTTGAATATTAATTTGGAACTAGCTGATTAACACTTATGTGCACATATGGAAATAAAACTCATTAGAAATCTAGTAGGGGTGGAGTGGGAGGGTAAATAAACACCCAATGGGTACAACACACATATCCTGGCTGAAAGGCACATTTATAACATCAACATAAAATGTACAAATGCAAATTATATAATCAAATGTGTATACCCTGTAATACTCTGAAATAAAAAATAATAAGATAAAAATAAAAAATAACACAGAGAGAATTATCCTATATATACAATCTGTTTAGACAATAACTCACTGCCTATGTTAGTTTATCTATATCCTCACCTACCATCTTAAACCCTTGAGATTATTTTGAAGCAAATCCTGATCAAAAAATCATTTCACAATAAGTAAGATTATTGGGACGCCTAGTACAGCCTTAACCTTTTCTTCTCCTCATCATCCTCCTTCTACTAAGACAAGGACACAAAGGATCTACTTAGCCCCCCTTCATCCCTAAAGTTCATGCCAAAGGACCCTAACGTCCCAGGCAAGCTATGAAATGTGCCCAATTCCTAGGTCACATACGAAAGGCTTCTCTGACTTCCCCTGGTACAGACGTCACCTTTGCACCACCCAGGCAGGTTACTCTCCCCACCATCCCCTTTAAATAAATCTGGCCTAAACATCTCTGCTCTGGTCTTGCCTCTGAGTGCCACTGCTTACATCTTTCAAAGATTATGATTGTTTTTAAAGATATAACTACAACACTATCACTGTGTTACTTTACATTAAAAAGGCAGCATCGATTTCTGAACACTGATAATTCTTTTAATATCAAATTTTTCGTGGGTGGGGAATAGAAAGGATGTTTTTGATATGAGTTAAAGAATTATGACTGTCAGGGCAAGAACAGGAATACCATATAATGTCGATGCCTTATTTAAATTCCAATTATGCACTTAATAACTAAAGTTGTTAAGAAAAGAAAAGTGAGGAAGAACATAGAAAGAGGAATAAAATAATTGTTATAAAAGTCATTACCATGAAAAAGGCAGATTATAGAAAAATCAACACTCAATGATCTCCATGAGGAGTGAACTTAATAATAACAGAAAATATGTACACTATGTTTATCAAACAGGCAACCAGTTCTTAGACTGTATAACTTGTTATCATTGTTTATACTCCATTTCTTTCCACTTGCAGGAAGATTTCACCTCACTTTCTTCTTTGTCTCAAAGGCAATCTTTCGCTGGCATATTTGATACCCTCATCAACATAATATCTGAGGTACAAATCAGAGATGACATCTAAAGGAATTCACTATGATGCCCAAATTTGCCTACTGAATGCCTTTTTAATAAACCACTTAAAAAATAACAGTAAAAAAATTTTCTAGTAATATTAAAGAAGTGACTCTTTAAAATAAACTCAAATGCATAATAGCAAACTAGGAAACAAAAAATTACATTGAATATATAACAGCAGATAGCTAACCTCTGAGGAGCTCTCTGAGTTTTCCTGTACTCCTGAATTTTGACAAGATGTTTGTGAATTATGCTCTATGTTGGAGCGAGTTTGATAAGTATGCTGACGTTTATGCTGTGTTCTTCGTAAAGAACGCCCACAGCTTGGCTGATAATCATTCTGTAAAACAGAAGGAAAATATATTTATGAAAATGAAAAGCTCAGTGAACACACAGGGAACATATAAAGCAAATCAATCAGGAAGGGGTAGGGATGAGGTTATGAGTAGAGGATAAGAATAAATTGCAAAAAAGAAAATAAATATATAACTATAACTAGTTTTCATGAATATTGATTATTGTCATGTTCTAAAAACTTTGTGATTATATTAAATACAATGCTGAATATGAGTTGGAAGGATATTCCCATTCATAATTTATATATAGTAGTCACAATTACAGTAAGATGAAGGAAGACATCTATATCATATTTATATAGGTATAATTCTTAATTTATACTTCTTTAGTTCAATCAAAAATATGTAAGAAAACTTGTCAAAGCATTGAATACATAATGAGATTTAATCATTTAAGATGAATTAGATCTTAAATTAATTTAGTCCAATCTCCACCAGAGAAATACAAGAAATACAGACTAGGTCCAGGAGAGAGAACTGTTAAAAATTGAAATGAAGTAATAAAATGAATTTTACATTGCTTATAACAATTGAATGAAAAGGACTCAAAGTAATTTAGGGGTGGGACACAATTATAAGAGGGTCCTTTTCTAATAAAAGCAATTAATGTAACCTGTTTCTGTGTACCCTCAATGAATTCCCAGCAATAAAAAATAAGTAATATAAGATTTCATTTTTGGAAAACAAACACATACAAATGCATGCTTAATCCTTTATATTCCACTGAAACTTACTCCTACTATCTGGGGATGATAAAGAAAAAAAGAAATTTAGTTACTATAGATAACTAACTTGTGATTACAACAAAAGTTCAAAGTATACTCATCTTTTAAATGGGACAAAATGAAGATTAAATTTTTAAAAACTAAAATTTAAAGGGAAAATTATTTTATTCTAACCTATACTAACATAAAATGTTATTAATGATACATATAGGCTGAAAACCTGACAGGTCAGTATGAATAAAAAGTTCAGTCTTATAATCAATTTTGGAGGATGAACCATGGGCTGATGAGAATATGTACATAGTTTTGTTAGGATGAAATGTTCCATTTATGTCTGTTAAGTCAATATGTTCTAGGGTTGTATTTAAGTCAATTATTTCTTTTTTTAGTTTCTGCTTGGAAGATCTGTCCATTATAAAAGGGGTGTTAAAATCCCCAACAATTATAGTGCAGGAAGATATCATACTGTTTAGATTATTTAGGGTTTGTTTTATTTATCAAGGAGTGTTTGTTTAGGTTGGGTATGTACTGTTAATTATTGAAATCTCTTCATGTTTTATACTTCCATTGACTATTATGTAGTGTTCATCCTTGTCTTACCTTATCTTTGTTGGTTTAAACCGAATCGTATGTGAAAATAATACTGCAACCCTTGTCTGTTTCTGATTTCCATTTTCCTGGATTGTTTTCCACCCTTTCCCCCAAGTCTTGCTTTATCTTATGAGGTTAGGTTTGTTTCTTGAACACAAAAGATATTGAGGTTGAAAATTCGTATCTAGTCAGCCATCCTGCCCCTCTTTAGGAGGGAATTCAAGTCATTCACATTTACTGAGAGAATCGATAGGTCTGGTGTACTTTTGGGCATCTTGTTTGTAAAACATGTAGAGCTTACTTTGGTCTTTTGTGCCATTGTGGAAACTAGGCTTTGTTATTTAATTATGTGTATATTTACTTTGGTGGTGAATCACTGTGCTGGAATTATGAAGAATGGGTTTGAGTAATTCCTGTAGAGCTGGTCTAGTTATGGCAAGTTTCCTCTACATCTGCATTCGATTTCTCCATCACAAATGAAACTCAGTTTATTAGGATACAGGATACCAGGCTGAAAACTGACTTGGTTTAATGAGAATAAAGGCTAACCAACCATCCTGTTCTGGCTTGAAAAAATTTCCACTGAAAGATCTGTGGTCATCCTGATATTTTTCCCTATATAGATAAGTCTTTACTAACACCTGGCTGCTTGCAGTATTTTCCTCATCATATCAAAAATGGCCAAGTTAATTACAATGTGTCTAGGAGATGCTTTGTTTGGATTGTTGTGCTGGTATTCTGTAATTATTTACTATCTGAATTTCTGTGTCTCTCACAGTGCTTGGGAAATTCTCCACCATAACATCTTGGAGTAGAGCATCAGCACATTCAGGATCATCCTGTTCTCCTTCAGGAATCACTGTAATTTAGATGTTTGATCTTTCGGAATAATCTCCTAACACCGTCAATGAATATTTGTTTTTGTTCTCCTGTCTTCTGCCTCTTTAAATGACTGATATAGTTCAAAAATCTAGTCTTCAATTTCTGAAATTCTTTCTTTTTCATGTTGTACTTTGTTACTGAGGATCTCTTCTGTGTTCCAAAGCTCCTTGAATTATTACTTCAATTTCTTAAGCTCTGCTATATCTTTCTTCATTATGTCAATCAATATCCTTGGTGATTTTGTCTTTAAATTCATTAATATCCTCAGAGACAATTTTTGGACCATTTTTTTAAATTTCTATCTCAATATCCTCAATTCCAATCATCTGATTTGTCATCCACATTCAGAACTCTACTTGTGACATTTAGCAATTTCTCTATGGATGGTATTTTCTGCTGTATCTCACTATAATCTCTTCGGGAAGTTGATCTGCTATGATCATACTGTAGGATATAAGTCCGACCTCAAGAAACTCAAAAGAATATAAATTATTACTTGTGTCTTCTGGGACCATGATGGAATAAAAGTTGAACTCAACAGCAACAGAAATCTTTATATCCAAATAAAGTCACAGAAACTAAATAACCTTATTATGAATGACAGCTGGGCCGAAGACAAAAGGATTCTTCCGATTAAGAAGGAATCATTAGATTCCCTGAACAAATAATGAGGCCACAACCTACGAAAACCTGTGGAATATTGCAAAGGTAGTCGTAAGAGGAAAATTGGACACCTTCATCAAGAAAATAGAAGGAGAACAAGTCAAGAACCTAATGGGATATCTCAAGCAACTTAGAAAGGGAGAACAACCAAGCACAAACCAGACATAAAAAAAGAATTAACCAAAATTAGCATACAATTAAATTAAATTGAAAACAAAATTATCATTTGGCAGATCAGAAAAACAAAAAGTTGGTTCTTTGAAAAGATTAATAAAATTAATAAACCCTTAGCCAGACTAACCAGAAATGGAAACATAAGATCTCTAATAATTTCATTCAGAAACAATAAAGGGGAACTAACAAGAGATATCTTAGAAATACAAAAGATCCTCAACTATTACTACAAAAATTCTATGTATGCCTAGAAATATGAAAATGTAAAGGAAATGGACCAATATCTGTAATCAGGACAGCTTCTTAAACTCAACCAGAAAGAATTAGAAATTTTGAATATACGTATATTAAGCATTAAATTGCATCAACATACAAAATCTTCCAAAAAAGAAAAGCCCTGGACCAGTTATTTAACACAAGAATTCTACAAAAACTCCAAACAGGAACTAGTATCTATATCGCATAAGCTATTCCAAAATGTAGAGAAAAAAGAAATCTTCCTCAGCATATTCTATGAGGCAAATACCATCTGATTCCAGAATCATAAAGAACAAAAAAGACAAAATTATTGGCCAATGAATCATTAATGAATATTGATACAAAAATGTTCTATAAGTACCATGGAAACAGAATACCCTGATACATTAAGAAAGTTATACATCATGATCATATAGGTTTTATCCCAGGGATGCAAGGTTGGTTCAACATACATTAATCCATACATGTAATTCATCACATAAATAAAATCAAAAACAAAGACCATATATGATTCTCGCAAATGATGCAGAAAAGGCTTTTGACAATATCCAGCATCCTTTCTTGATAAGAACACTTAAGAAAATAGGCGTAGGTGGGAAATTTTTTAAACTGATAGAATGCATCTACAACAAACCCACAGCCAGTATCATATTGAATGGGGTAAAACTGAAAGCATTTCCACTCAGAATTGGAACTAGACAAGGATGCCCATTATTGCCACTGCTATTCAACATAGTGCTGGAAGTCCTAGCCATTGCAATCAGGGAAGAGAAAAGGATCATGGGTATTCAAAAGGGAACAGAGGAGGTCAAACTCTCTGTCTTTGAAGATGACATGATCTTACATCTGGAAAACCCTAGGGACTTTGATACAAAATCAATGTCCACAAATCAGTAGCCATAACATGTGCCAACAACAATCAGGCTGAGAATAAAATCAAAGATTCTATACCTTTTACAGTGGTACCAAAGAAGATAAAATACCTGGGAATATACCTAACAAATAACATGAAAGATCTCTATAACATGAATTATGAAACCCTGAGAAAAGAAATAGCAGAAGACATTAACAAATGGAAGAACATAACCATGCTCACGGCTGCAAAGATTCAACATTGTTAAAATATCCATACTACTCAAAGCTATCTACAGATTTAATGAAATCCCAATCAAAGTACCAACATCATACTTTGAAGAACTTGAAAAAAAGTACTTTACTTCTTATAGAATCAGAAAAAAACCCAAATAGCCAATACAATATTTAGAAATAAAACCAAAAATAGAGGTCTCACATTACCAGACATCAGTCTATAGTGGTAAACTGCATGGTAATGGCACAAAACTAGAGACATAAATCTTTTCAGTAGAACAGATAATCTAGAGATGAACCCAGTCACCTATTGCCATTTGATCCTTGATAAACCAAACAAAAGCATTAATTGGGGAAAAGAATCCGTACTTAATAAATGGTGCTGAAAGAACTGGTTAGGCACATGTAAAAGACTGAAACTGGACCCACACCTCTCACTACTGACAAAATTAGATACTTGCTGGATAAAATATTTAAATTTAAGACACAAAATGACAAAAATTCTAGAAGACAGTGTGGGGAAAATGCTTTGCAAATTGTCCTGGGAAAAGATTTTAAGATAAAGAAACCTCTGACAATTTCAGCAACACTAAAAATAAATAAATGGGATTTGATCAAGATAGAAATTTCTGCACAACTAAGGGTATAACAACTAAAGCACAAAGGCAGCCTTCAGAATGGAAGTAGAAATTTGAGTGCTGTGAATTAACCAAAGGCTGATAAATAGAATATAAAGTGAACTCAATCAAGAAAAGAGCAAACAACCCTCCATGGACAACAGACTTGAACAGAAACTTCTCTGAAGATGATAGACAAATGGCCAAAAATACATGAAAAATGCTCATTGTCCCCAATCATCAGAGAAATGCAAATCAAAAGCAGTATGAGGTAGCACCTAACTTCAGTGAGATTAGCCCACCTCACAAAGACTCAAATGTGCAGATGCTGGAGTGGATGTGGAGAGAAGGAAACACTTTTGTACTTCTGGTGGGAATACAAACTAATACAACCTTTATGGAAAGAAGTATAGAGAATCCTTAAAGAACTAAAACTCAACCTTCCATTTGGTCCCACAATTCCATCACTAAGTATCTACCCAGAAGAACAAAAATCATTTTACCACAAAAACATGTGGACCAGAATGTTTACTGATGATCAATTTACAACTGCCAAGTATGGAAGCAACCCAAATGCTCATCAACCCATGAATGGCTTAACAAACTTTGGCATATATATATACCATGGAGTACTACTATTCAGCCGTAAGAAAAGATTAAGACTTTATATCTTTTTTGTTTACCTGAATAGAATTGAAATACATTCTTCTTATTAAAGTATCTTAAGAATGAAAAAAATATATTCAATGTATTTAGTACTAATATAAAACTTATATATAAACAGCTACATGCACATATGAATGATAAAATGCAAATATAGTCTAGCAAGGGGGAGGGGAAAAGAGGGAGGGAAAGGAGGCCAGTGGAGTGAGGGCAACTAGGGGAAGAGAGTGGGCAATTGGTGGGATCTCACCTAATGTGAACAATGTGAGAGTGTTCAGCATAACCCCAGGGTGAAAGGCTCAACTACAACTTGAACTTTACCTTAGAACTGAAAACAATATAACCTAAAAATTTGTCCCCTCATACTAAATTGAAATTTAAAAAAGAAAAAAACATTAAAAAGTTGTACAAATCACTATCAAGGACCTGTATATCTTATCTGTAAATGTTTCTCATTTTCAATATAAACAAAAATGTTTACCCTACCTGTAGGCTTAAGGCAGGTCTCATGTTTGACAAATGAACACAGCAGGATAAAAGAATAAAAATCATAGCTCTGAGTCATTTAAAATTTCCAAACAAAATAATCTTATCAGAGAATATAAAATAAACTAACAAAACCACAATAGAATTTAGAATGGAGACATTAAAACAACCTAAGAATATTTGAAGATATTTATGTAACAATTAGCTAAATTTTTTTAATCCACTCTCAAAAATGTCATTTAAAATTCAGGTTTTACTGCCTAGCTTTCTTTAACAAAATCAAAATTATCCTAGATTCTCCAAGTTACCATACTGCAGGTCTGGAAATAAAAATATACATTCTTATGCTACTAGTTTGGTCAACCTGGGAGTATTAGTAAGGAGTTTACCATGTACCTAATGTAGTAAAAGAACCCTACTCCCTCCTTAACAGCTTCTACTGGAAAACTTAACACAGTACTTCATAATGTTTATTTTAGATCACATCTTGCTCCTAATGATTAGGTATGCCAGGAATGGGCCTAGGGGAGGGTATCAGCACACTTTTTCTAAGGTGCCAGAGTGTAAATATTTTTTGCTTTGCAGGTCATTCCACCTTTGCTACAACTACTTAATTATCTCTATAACATGAAAGTAGCTATAGACAAGAAATGAATAAATGTGGCTATGTTCCAAAGAAACTTAATAGTAACAGGCAGCAGAACCCAATTTGGACCAACATCTAGCCTAAGGTATCTGAGAATTTGTTTTATGTTGTGATTAGTGGTCTGGTAATATATTTTTCTAAGGTTCTATTTTAACTTCAAGAAAATAGTATTTTAAAATAAATATCTTATATATACAATAACAATGACATGTCAGACTTTTGGGGACATTTGCCTTAGTGTAACTTTATTGTTATTAATAATAATCATATATCTTAATTTGTGGCAAAAAAATGGATTTCCTGCATGCAAACTCCTATTAAAATATTCTCTTAATATATAACTGTTCCCTTTCAAAATCCTGCTATTTGTAAATATTTGCAAATATTCATCCCAAATGTACTGCAAAACTAAACTTACCCTTTGGGTAGTATAAGATGGCTTTTTCTTCTTTTCAAGTGTATAAAGATTGATTTCTACATCACCTTTCGCAATTCGACATTCTTCCTGTACCCTAAAAACAAATCAAAGATCAAAGTAACAGAAAATCATCAAAAAAGAAACCATTACCTTAAGAATCAGGTAACAAAAAACTGTTAAATGTAAAATTTGCCATTTTATCCATTTTTAGGTATATACTACAGTGTCATTATTTTTTCTTTGTTTGTTTGAGACACAGTCTCACTTTGTTGCCCTTGGTGGAGTACTGTGGTGTCACAGCTCACAGCAGCCTCAAACTCTTGGGCTCAAGTAATCCTCCTGCTTCAGTTTTTCATTTTCAGTAGAGACACAGGTCTCACTCTTGCTCAGGCTGGTCTCAAACTTGTCAGCCCAATTGATCCACCTGCCTCCGCCTCCCAGGGTGCTAGGATTACCCTCCCACGGTGCTAGGTGTGAGCCACCATGCCCTATATTTTACACTGTTGTGCAACCATTACCACTATTTTCCAAGATATTTCCATCACTCTAAACTCTGAAGTCATTAAGCAATAACTCTTCATTTTCTTCTCACTTGATAACCTCTAAGCTATTTTATCTTTCTATGAATTTACCTAGTTTAGATATTTCCTGCCAGTGTAATCATATATTTGTCATATTGTCTGGTTTCTTAAACTCAGCATAATGTTTTCAATATCTATCAATGTTGTAGCAGGCATGAGAACTTCATTCTTTTTTACAGCTGAATAATATTCCATTATATGAATATACTACAATGTGTTTATTTACTGTGAATAATACTGTAATGAAAAATGGTGCATAAGTTATCTATATGAGTCCCTGCTTTCAATTCTATTTTTGATTTTGCTACTTATTGGTTTCTTTGACAAAGGGCTTAGTTAGGGAGATAGTTCATTAAAATGAATTTTACATGTTCTAAATCAATGTCCTTTCTCTTTTCTAAATCTATTCCCAGATTCTATGAATTATCTGAAGTTGTTATTATAACAAGTGTTAGGGTTTATAAATAGGAATGGGAATTATGAGTTTGAAATTGATCCTAATAAAATCCTTATATCCAGTTAGGTCTACTTAAATGGCATTTCTAAACACACTGTAAGCCCTAGAAGGGGTGTCTAACTTATAGCCCTAAGGGCTGACTGCTGATTTTATGAGGACCATTTTTTGCTCATCTGTGGTGTCGGTTACCACAAAATGTATGCATGGAACTTTTTTTGGCTAATCAGCTCTCCTTAGAGTTTATGCATTTATTTTATCTTTTTTGTTTTTACTTTTTTCCCTCTTTTTAGATATAGGGTCTTACTCTTGCTCAGACTTGTCTCAAATTCCTCAGTTCAAGAAACCTGTCTGCCTTAGTCTCCCAGAGTGCTAAGATTACAGGTATGAGCCACCTCACCCAGCCCATGTTTACATATTTAATATGCGGACCAAGGAAACTCTTAATTTTCCAATGAGTGGCAGAAAAAAAAAAAACAGAGGTTGGACACCTATTCACTATGGACTAGTACACAATTGCACTCACTGGATCTCTAATATCCAGCTGATGACCCTCTCCTCAGAACCACTGTTGAATTTAGAGTCCATATATTGCTCACATATCTAATCACATATTATATCAAGTGAGTTATTCTGTAATATTATTTGTATTCTTATCTCTTAGCCTAGACTTTGTAGTCTAGAACAGAGAT